AGAAGAAGAACCTACAAACCAACTGAGATGACAAGGGAATGGAGAAGTAATATAATGGGGGTGACTAAGGGTCACTTAAATAGCCCCATCACTAGCCATTGATCACAATCTCAATCCAACGGTCCAAGGCTTTTCAGAAGATCAAAAGGAAAAGTGATCGTAATGGCAATGAATTCGTGTGATGAAAAAATGACTTCGGCAAGGAGTTTTGGAGATCCATAGTATGGAGAGCTTGGTTGAGGAATTATGATGCTTTCCATCAAGGCAGATGACAATTAGAGTCCGTCTAGTTAGGAAAACATGGGGGCTGAAGGTGATAGTATCATGCAATGGAATTGTAACAATTTTGGAATATTGTAAAGGCAATATCTTAATGATCGGATATCCTCTGGAGCTGAAACTTTTTAGACTTCATATTGAGTATGTAAGTTTCACTAGGAATCAAACGGAACATCATTTGGAGGCTGATAACATCAAATATAAAAATTATTATTCCTCAGCCAGAAGATCTCTATTGGTGTCACTTGGATTTTTCTTGCTCAATCTTATATAATGGAGCATGCTTTTTGAAAATGTAGTTAGCTCTCCAATGCTTCCATCTAGTCAGGGCAACCTGTGGATTTTCATTCACACAATATCAATGTTATCAAAATCGGCCCGGCCCCGTTGGTTCAACGTGTAGAATCTGGCCAAAAATTGGGTCAATCATACTCAATTAACCGCTTATGATTGAACTGCTTAAAAACCCATCGAACCGACCGATTTAACCTTAAACCAATGAACCGGTCACGATTTTGTGGTTTTCCCTTTTTTTTTTTAAATTTAAAAAATTTCAATTTCATGAATGGGCCTCATAAACAACAGTTCAAAGGTCCATAGAGAAATATTGAATGAAATCCTCCTTTATAGATGCATCTCTCTCAAATGGTTTTATAAACTTCCAATATGGGATAATATATTTTATAGATACACTTCTCTCCAATAGTTTCATAACTTCCAATGAGGGATAGTGGCATTACAAAAATGTTAACAAATTATATAATAATGAATCTAATTAACAAATTATTAATATGAAAATTAAAAAAATATATATATTGTTGTCATAGTATTTTATTAGTTTTGTATGTATTTATTGTATTTGGTTCGATCTCGGTTCGACCCCAGTTGCACATTTTGACCATTGACCCTTCATATTTTTCGGGTCGATTTTTAAAACATTGCAAAAATATACAATCTTTAGGGGTTGTGGGGGCAATCAAGGGCCTATTGTAGCTACTTTTGTGAATGGATAAAGTACTCCTATGGGGTGAGGAAGCCATCCGATATAGGGCCTTCTTAGCCTTTTTGGGCACCTCGAAGGAGGCTTAAGGTTGGTAATAGAGTATTATTATGCTCAGGGGATTATGATGAGGATATGGTAATACCTTTAGGACAAATGAGCTATCAGGACAGTACTTTGGTCTTGTCGAGATTGTTGGATAGAAAAGAGATCATGGGACGACGATACATAGATGGACAAATATGGTAAGCTTTCAAGATTGTTGGAATGTGTATGATATGAAGGCACTTTTAATTAGCCATGGAATAACGGATGGCCTTGCTTGGGCTAGGCATTAACGAATGGCATGGTGACAATCATTAAGCTAAAATTGCCATTCAGAGTGATAAGCACAAGCATTGCATTTTGGGGCATGCAAATGACCATCAATGCTTCAATCGAAGCTGAGAGAGCTCATTTCCAGTGAATATGCTTCGAGAGGACTTTATATTGTGCATAAGAGACTCTAAATACAAAATACTTTAATTTAGAGAAATAATGCTTAAAATAAGCTTCAAGAAATACACTCTCCAGTCTTACTTTATAGTGATTGCAATTAATAAGTTACAACTTTCAATACTTGACTCATTAAATTATTCTAATTATAGTTTTGAATTGATTGATCATTGATATATACAATATATAAATAAAATATGATGAGAAATCAATAAATATTTCTCCAAAAAAAATGGAAAAATGTATAGTCTAAGAATCTAATATAGAGATCATTGTTGGAGTAAAAAAAAAAAAAAAATTTACTTTCTAAATTTAAAGATACTCTTTATCATACATAGTATGCTTTTTATAAATAGAATTTCTTGAAGATACTCTTAGTAGGAATAGTTGAATATCAATGAATAGAGCTACTAATGAATAATAAGTTTGAAACCGATATGATTTTGATAATCAATTCCACTTCCTACCAGTAATTGATGTCCATTGGAGAAGAAACAATTCAGTAGAGGAAACGGGGAAGTGTTTGAAAGATAGTGTCTCCCCACGTAAGAATTGAGTAATAAGGTGGTTGACCTCCTTTTTTCGAACCTCAATATGGAACATTCGTGCACATCGAGAGATAGCTAGTCGAGATCTATGTACAACGAGTTATAATTTATCTTTGTTACGCAATGACCAATGTTGTTAGGAGTGCTTACGTGTGTGTGAGGACACGCAATGATTGTAGCAATGCTATTCATAATTTCCCCTATATTCTCTCTTGGAATATAGGAACAAGGTGGACACATGTCCTAATTATATAGCCTCGTTAGTAAGGTTGGATACTGTATATATCGTTTTTTTTCCCATAAAATATTCATGAATATTATCATCACATGAATCTAGTCTTTACACATTTATACTTTTTTGATTATTAATTATCACCTTTGAATGAAAATAGTGGAAAGTTCTTCCAACCCACATTTGTCGGTCTATATCTCTAGAACTTCTTTTCAACTAGTCTAATTTGACTCACGTTATGTTTATGTAACATAACTAAGGACGTCAATTTCCAACTTAAGGGCAATTTTTAGGAACAAAGTTGTTCTTGATTGAATATTATATGTCACGTGATCATATTGGTGGTGCAAATCAGTATCCCTATTAACTTTTACAGACAAATTTGATTTTAGTGACTAATAGAGTAAACATTGTAAAATTTAAATTAAAGAAAAATGATTAAGGGCTTGTTTGAGAGCGACTTTTTCATTTAAAAAATTGATTTTTTGACCGTTATTTTGCTATTCCAGTCGTCATATTTGACTTCTTCTCTCACAGATAAATCCCACTTTTCTCTTAACGATCAAAAAATCAATTCTCAAAATCACTCCCAAACGGAATCTAAATGTTGACATTTTAAAATCTAAGAACTATTTGCGATCGTTTATACAAATTTAAAGACAAATTAGGCTTTTAACACTTGGCAGTATGGATATATACCTATGTAGACTGTGCACCATAAGTAGTACAACTTTGATAGGTAAGTTTGAACTCTGAAAGCGAAACACAGTTTTGCACTTTCCCAGCTTGCATTGTTATCCACAAATCAACCACCAAACAAAGAAACAAAATTAAAAATTGAATTGGACCCCACCAAAAGGCTTGGTGACTTTTAAGGATCTGTTCAATAGTGATTATGAGAATTAATTTTTTGACCGTTAAAAAAAAAGTGATTCCTATCTATTAGTGAAAAAGTCAAAAATAACAATTGAAATAATGAAATAACGGTCAAAAATTAATTTTTGGATAAAAAATTATTACCAAACACGGGCTAAAGTAGTAGCTGATGACTTTGGGACAAAAGAGAGGTTAAAGTGGTTTAACAAGAACCAAAAAAATATAGGTCCCCAACACATTGGAAATGTAGAAAATAGGTCCCAACTAATATTTAGGCAAAATCAATCTTCGGCTCTTTATTCTTCTAATATTTGAGTCCCCAGTTAATTATTTTACCCTTATGTCTAATTAAATAGATAACAGATGGAAAATATGTATAAAACAAACAAACAAACAAAAGAGTCCATCTGGAGGGAAATACTGGGGCAAGTCGATAGTTTTGGTCAATTTTGTATTTTTCTTTAAACTTTTTTCTGTTTTATTTATTTTTCTTTTTTGTAACATTAAAGATAGGGTAAAATAATTTTTTTTAATAAAAAAATAGAATTTTATATTATATTTTATATGGTTTTTTTGAAAATAAAATACTGGACTTGCTGTTGGAAGTAGGTGTACTTCAATGTAAAATGATAAATTTATACCTTGCATAGCTCCCGTGTTACATGGATTCTTGGGTTGGTTGAGCATAATTAACTCCTGTTTTGGTAGAGATTTTTTAACATTCAATTTTTTTTCAAGCTCATTTTAATCACATTCTTTCAATAAAATAACTTTACATGTTAATCTATAATTTTTTCCTACACATTCTACAAAAAGTCACTTTTCACAAAACTTTCTTTTAAAAAATCTACATCAAACATGCTTTAAATGTGACTCTAGAAGAAGACCACAGAGGATGGTTAGTTCATGGAAGGAAAGCATTAGAAGAAAAGTAGGTACATAATACCTCTTTCCTTAGCTACACTTTAAAATTCTTTTTTCATATTTTTCTTGTAGTGTTGGACACTTCTACTTTTCACCGACCGAGATTCAAGTGTTCCTAGGTGTCTAATGTTACAATATGATTGAAACTCTAATATGCAAAAATTAAGATATTCTCGTTATTGACAATTCCTCTTGTCCCGGACCACATAGCCCTAGAATTTCTAGGGAGGACATGTGTCCCCCTTGGAATTCCCGGGCCTCTAGCAAAACTCATCTTAGATTGTAATCATTTAATTTTGTATTTATATGGAATTGCAATGCAAGTTGCATTCATTGCAATCGATGGAATTATTTTTCATAATTGATTCCTAGTAATTCAAAGTCCAAGTTGATTTGATTATGGGGCACTTGATTTTTTAAAGTTTTATTCACATCATAATTTTTTGTTAAATAGTGTTGAGGGTTTAGTTCAATATGTATTATCTATCTATAAATCAACTCTTTTTCTAAAAAGAAACAAGGGTAGCATGTAAAAATAATAGATTAAGGTCCTACATTGTACATTTTCAATAAGTTGGGGATCCCGACTGTAATGTAATCATTTCAAATTTTTCAAACGAATAATCCACTTGTAGCAGAATAGAATGGCAAGATGAGAGAAAGATCTTGAAGCCCACCTAGAATTTGTGGCTGAGAATTCACATTTTCTTGGTGACCTGGCTCTGTGTATCTAATCTATTAACCTTAATGATGTGCTACGCATGTTGTCCTGAACATTCAACAGTCCTTTCCCAACACCGCAGAACACGAGAACCCCTTGAGAAGCTCCATTCTGAGAGAGTTTTTATGTGTCAGATCTCCTAATCCCTGAACTTCTAGTCTTGTTTTGTGTTTGTTTTCTTGTTTTACTCCGTTTTTAAGTAAAGATACCGCATACGGGTTTCTTGATTGTCGAAAAATAAGATAGAGAAATGTTTGAAGCGAAGGACCCGATAAAGCTGTTTGGGAAGACCATTCAGCTGCCGGAGATGCCTGCTGTAGCGGCGGCGGATGAAATAGGTGGAACTGATCCAGTTCAATCTTGCGATGTTGCTGCCAATGATAGTTCAATACAAGATCACCCTTGTTCATCAAATTCTGTAATCGATGATATAACTTTGGATATAGAAGCAGAACAGGAAGAATCAACAAAGGTATGGGTAAAAAGAATGGTTTTTTATTTTAAAAACGACCTTTTATTTTAAATGGTATAAGAATTAATGGTCAATCTTAATTTTTGATTTTTTTTTCTGAGAATTTGTTAACTTCTGGATAGGTCTGATTTTAATGTTTTGATTAGGGTTTTTTGTGATAGTATAGAATTGCAAGTCTAATTATGCACATAGTGTAGTTTCAGTTTTCTGATTTAAATCTATGAAATATTTAACGTGCTTAGATTATGTTGTTCTGCTATTTTTAGATCAACTATCGAGCTCCCCCACCCCAAGCGGAGAAACTATTGGTAATTAATCAATTTTATAACTATATAGGTATGTTTGCTGTATTGAACAGCACTGAACACAGACATTATAGAAGAAGTGAAAAGAAGTTAAAATCTTGTTAATTCTACATTCTAATCCTGTCCAATACAGTTGTCCTATATGGATAAGTTTTATGCTCAATCTTTTTCGATGAATTTTATGAAACTAGCACATGTGTGCGTGGTGGATTGTGATTTCGTGGATTATTAAAGAGTACAATAAAATGTATCATTTGGTTTTGGTTTAAGTTCCTGCTTACGACACGTGTACTGCTGTATGGACATTTATATGTATTTTTAGGGGAAGTGGAGGGGAGGGAGGTATCAATCCTCAAAAGATCTACATTACCAATTAAGTTTGATCTTACGTGCGGAATTTACACAATTAAAAGTAACAAGTTACTTTTTAATTGTTTCTAGATGGTTAATCAAATAGCCCAATTATCCTAAGTTGAATTACGGCGGATTGTAATAAGAAAACAGGAAATAACACTAGATATGTTGACGGAAAAACCCAACTGAGTAAAAACTTCGGGATTAGGCCAGTTACCTTCACTATAGACAATTTGGATTTACAGTTAGATGCTGTCTAACCAGCTCAACTAGACTTCCCGATCTACTTTATGTGATATCCAAGATCCTACTGAAACCAACAGCTCCCAATATTCAACAATTGTCTCCTCCAAGTGAATCACTGAGAATAACCAATTCTTGTACTGTTCCGCGCTTGTAGTCTAACCTCTCTCTGTCTTTAGTAGTCTCTGAAGTTCAATTGAGAAAGTACCTTCCTAAGAGTGTTTAGGAAGTGTGTGTTTTGGATTCAATGGATTTGATTTTTTTTTTCCCAATGTGATTGTATGAATTCAAGAATGAATTGAATGATCTCACCAATGGATTGTGTTCTTGAATCTTCAAGGAATAATGTGGAGAGGCTATACAATGAGCAACCATAAAAATTTCATGCAAGGCATTGAGTATTTATAGTTGAAGGCAATTAGGTAATTTGGGTCACGTAAAACTCTTCAAAAACGTGAACTAGGGCTTTCCCTACATTACTGTCGCTTGAACAAGATATGGGCGACAGGCGAGCGACAGGGTTTCTGTTTTTGTTGCTTGAGAAACGTCCTAGTGATAAGTTGACGAAATTGCAGCGTCTCTTCTTTTCTTATTACGAACTGAATCCTAACCTACCTAACTCAACTGTAAAATATTGCAACTAAGCCCTTGACCTTTTATAACATATTTATTTCAGATATTTTTTTTCACAAAATTATCAGTTACATAAAACCTAACAAATCGTTGAACCATTGAGCTCAGTTGTGAAAACTACGATTCTTAACCAACTAGAACAAGGTGAATTGGTCGCATATGTGTAGACTAGGAATTATTGATTTGACGATCTTAGTCATGCCGACAATTCTTTTTAATTCTATATGTAGTGGTTTTGTAACCTTCTTCCTAGCGAAGATATCATACTGTATGGCTCGAATGTTTGGCTGTTAATTTCTTGGTTAGTTATTATTTGGATAAAAATGCTAGAGAATCTTTAGCTTCCAACTGGTAAAAACTGGACTGTAAAAGTTTTCTTTGGAGCCTTAAAATCAGGAATCTGAAGGCGCAGCTCGATTTGAATCCCTGTTGACTAAATGTTGTTTGGAAGTCGGTGATTCTTGCTACATATAATAGCTTAATATGGTTCTAGTAGGGAAAATATCTGACATTACTGTTCTGTGAGTTTCAGATAGTTTCTGGTTCTAGATTTTTCTCATATTAAAGAATGTGAATTTTGTTGGGGTATTATTTCTTCTATTAATTCAAACCCGTAATATGGAAAATTTCGTTCTTGGCTTATTGGGTTTGTTTCTTATTTCTTGACATGTAATTGGGGTTTGTTGCCTGCAAGATACACTCAAAAAAGAGGAGGAAAACGAATCAATCATCTCATTTTTTTATCACAAAGAAACATAGAACAGAATTGTGTACAACACGACAAGTAATTCTTTGCCATAAAAGGGAAAAAGACCAATTTTCTTTTCAACAGATCTTTCTTAGTAACACAGGTTT